GGACATAACATGAAATGTACGATCTTAACTACTCTCACTGATAAGCGTGCAGTGCAGTGGCGTCAAGAACACTCAGGTCGCTGTGCAGCCGTCCGTCCCCAGAACGCGTTTCATCTTCCCAGACTGAGACTCGGTCCCCGTTGATCACCAAGCACTGCCCTGCCAGCCCTGGCAGCCACCCCGACCTCCGTCGCGAGCCCGGCAGCTCCCCGGTGCGAGGTCCCGATGTCTTTTGGCGGCCGGCTTGTTTCACTGGGCACGGCGTCCTCAGGGCCCACCCGTGTCGTGGCAGGCGTCAAATTTCCTTCCTTCCAAGTCCGAGCAACATCCGTCGTGGGGACGGGCCACACTCGCGTAGCCACCGCCCTCGGTGGACACCGGGCTGCCTGCCCTGCTGGCTGCCGGGCACCGTGCTCAGGAATCGCGGATCACACGGAGATTCCGTGTTGGATTTTCCGAGGAACGGCCGTGCCGCGGCCGCACCGCCGTGCGGTCCCACGCGCAGCGCAGGAGGCTGCGCTCTCTCCCCGTCCTGCCCAGCGCTCACGCTCTGTTTCCGGCGGCAACCGGCCCGCGGGTGTGAGCCGCGTCTCAGCGCCGCGTTTGGGTCGCGTCTCCCGGTCATCGGTGACACCGGGCAGGTGTCTCATGTGTATGGGCTGCTTGTATCTCTGCTCTGGAGAAACGTCTGTTCGAGTCCGTGGCTCATTTTAATCGGATTTTTTGTTGCTAAGTCGTAGGAATTCTTCGCACATTCTGAATATCAATTCCACATCACAGACACGATTTGTAGATGTTTTCTCCCCTTCCGTAGTTCTCTTTTCACTTTCTTGATAATGTCTTTTGATGCACAAAAGTTTTTAATTTTGATGAAGTTCAATTTATCTATTTTGTCTGTATTTTCGATGTCATAGTCGAGAAATCGCCGCCAAGTGCAACGTCATGAAGCTTTTCCCATATGGTTTCCTCCAAGAGCTCCGTGGTCTTAGCGCTCGCGCTCAGTCCTCGCGCAGTTTTAACGCCCGACAGCGCCTGCCTCCCCTGGCACCCAGGCAGCGCCCCTCCCCAGCCCATCTTGTCGCTGGTGCTGGGGCTCAGCCCCTCCCCAAGGACAAGTGCCCCCAGCCACCCCGCCACCCCAGGACCGTGCCGTGACAGCATTACCCCCAAACCCCTCAGATAGATGAACGGGGGGGGGTGAAGGGCCGGGTCCCGTCTCCCACCCAGGGAACCCCTCCTGGACCCTTCCAGAACCCAGCACGGGTGCCTGGCTGGCCTCTCCTCGTCACATAATGTGCTGGCCCCGTGGGCACCTCATTCGACACCCCTGACCCAGACCCTCCAGGGAGTGGACAGGACCTCGAAAGTCACATGAAATACATGTTCCCTGCGTCAGGCCACCCGCCTCCTCGGCCCACACCCTGCCCTCGGCCGGCCTCCGGTCCTCGCCAGACAGACGGGAATGCGGCCGGTGCCGCTCGGCTGACGTGCGCAGGACAGACGGTGCTGACGTGTCCTCGGAAGACGGTTCACGTGCCGGGCAGTCCTGGGGAGGAGGGCGGCGCCCCAGCCTCACGGCCCCCAGGGCGCTCCCTCCGATCTGACTTGCTTTCTGTCACTGTCTCAGCTCAGCCCGTGACTCCCTGCCCCCAGGGGCCGGGGCCTCGCTGCAGAGCGACATCCGATGACAGAGCGATACTCATGCGAGGAGTGGCCCCGCACGTGGCAGAGGCGCGGCTGACCCGGGTCACACCCCTCTGGGTCCTGACCGAGGCGTGCCCCTGAGCATGCTGGACAGGAAGTAGACCGCGCGCTCGGTGGTTGTACCAAACCCAGCCCTGCTCTGGGTCCTGGCTTGGGCATGCCCAGAGCTGCCGGCAAGTGCCACGGCTGACTGCCCCGTGGCCTGCTGGGTGGGCGCCCGTCGTCCGTCCACGGCTGAGGCCAGCCACGATGTCCCAGTGTCCCACAGGAGCGGGGGATCCAGAGGTTAGGTGACGTGTCCTGAGGCTGTCACCCAGCGAGGTTCCCTGCTTCGAGAAGGCGACGATGAGAAAACCTGGCAACGGTGCATCTGTGAAGGGGTCCTCCTCCAAGCACAGAGGCATCAGCCCCACACGGCCTGCTGGGCAGACACGGCTGGTGGCCCTGTGCTGGGGGTGGACGTCGCGCACTGTCCCCAAGCCCCGGCAGGGAGCCCAGGGTCCAGGGCACGAGCATTCAGCCCTGTTAGGACCTGCGCAGGACTGGCCAGGGCCCCTCTGAGCCCCTCCGTCCCCAGCAGCCCGTCCCACAGGCACCCCCACCAGGTGAGGACCTCTAGCACATGCTCCACTCATTCTAGAACATTCCCTGGGGGCTGTGCCTTCTGCCTTCTCCTTCCAGCCTGTCGATGGCCCTGGCCCAGGAGCCCAGTGCACAGACACCCAGCAGTGAGGCCGGGCAAGGTGGACGGAGGTCTCGGGGGAGCCGGCGCACACGGGGCTCCTCTGCACGGCCACGGCGGGGCGGGGGGAGGGGCAGCAGCGTCAGGGGGGCTTCCAGACAGACCAGGGAGGCCACAGGCTGCGCTGAACGCCGGACGGCGGGGGCAGACTCACAGACTGACCGCAGGGGGGGCATCCGGGGCTCTGGAGGCTGAGGGGGTGGGGGGCAGGAGGGTCTGCCCTGGGTGGAGGCAGATGGCCCCGGCACGGGGGCAGAGGACCAAACTTCCCGGCTCCCCGGGACTCTCCCCGGAAATCCCTCCTCCCTGGGCAAAATCCTCCCTGCCTGAGGAAGGAGCACGCAAGGTCCTGGGGACGTGGGGCTGCCACGCCCCACCCCCCAGTGCCCAGCCAATTGGGGCTGAGCCCGGTGACGCTGCCCCTGACTTGGTCTCCCCCCAGGGCACGTTTCTGAAACTCAGATCGAGCCCCCACCCCTTCCCGCTGGCCCCTCTGAGGGCCCCCCACCTGTAGGCGGCCGTGTGCTGGGACCCCCACCTGGCTGGCCCAGTGAATGCTGCCTTTGGCCTGGACGTATGACCGCAGGCTGGGGGTTCCCTGCGAGGGCCCCGCTCCCCCGACCCCCTCGCCACCCACACGCAGGCCCCCAGGTCGCCCTGAACATGCGCTTCTGCGTCAGCACCGGCCAGAGGCTGTTCTGGCGAGTGAGGTCTCGCGGCAGCTCATCCAAGAGGCCCCCAGCAGTGGTCACACCAACCCTCACAGCCGTTCACCCCACCCCAGCCCCAGCAGGAAGTCTCCCGGGAGGGCGGGGGCCACACACTAAGCCCCTGACCCACCTGCTGGAGTTAGCGGGGTCCATCGGCTGGTGCTGACCTGCCCTCCACGAGCTCCTGGGGCTCAGTCCTCAGGCCCAGACCGCGGGGGAAGGACCCTCCGCGTGCACAGGGGCTGCCAGGACTCTGGGGTGCTACAGGCCACCTGGGTGCCAGGGAGGGCCTGGGGGCTGCACAGGGAGGTGCCCAGGCCATGCGTGGGTCCCCTGGGTCTAGACCTAGAGCCAGAGGTCATTGCTGGCCCAGAGGCACCAGGGTAAGAGGGGCTGGCCCGGCTCCTATCGCCCCAGGAGCTGTCCAGTGAACCCCAGCCCTGGCTGCCCAGGGGGGCTGTGTCTGGCCAGAAAGCCTGGCCTGGCCCTGCATGGGGCACCCTGACAGTCGTCCTCTCAGGAGTGGGGAGAACGGGGCGCTGGGGACCCCAGCGGGAGAAGAGAACACAGGAGTTTCTCGGGGAGAGGGGCCTTGGGTACAGACGCCTCCCTTCCTGAATGTCGGTTCTGAGGAAGAGGCCTGGGCCCGTCAGGCCTCCCTCGGCAGGACCAGGGACAGGCGCTGACCCACTGAGCGCCACCTTCACAGCCTGGTCCCTCCTGGCCTTGCCCGGCAGGCCGCCTCCCAGTCTCCGGGTGGCTCTGAGAACCCAGGTCTCTGAGATCCTCGGGGATGTGCCCCGGGCCCAGAGCTGCTGGACGGCCTGTCTCTAGGGCTCCTGGCCGCAGGGCCCACCTATAGCGGCTGCCCCTTCCTGAGAGGCTCCTGCCAGCCTCGGGGAGGCCCCAGCGTGGAGAGTCGGGGGTGCTGGCGTGACTGCACGCTGGGCACAAGAGTCTGGGTCTGCAGGGACAGCCAGCCTGGAGGGGCGGGAACGCCTCCTCTGTGGGAACCGTCCTGCCCCGGCACCCAGCCAGAACCTGGCGCCTGCCCTGGCGGGGACGCGGAGAGGGAGCTCTGCGGACCCTCCACTGCCCCCCGGTGAGCCACCGCCGGTTCTCTATGGGTCCAGGGAGGGGAAGAAATGTGACTTCACACAGCGAGGGCGGAACTCACGGGGCAGGACACCCTGCAAGGCTCTGGGGGGCATCAGATTCCAGAAGGGCCCATCCAGGTACAAGCCCGGGAAGACAGGCCTCCTGTGGTCCTTGGGCGGGTGGCTTCCCTCTCCAGGCCTCAGTTTACCATCTGCAACATGTCTTCACACTACCGAGCCCTAAGTTCTTTGACAAATACTTTAAAAAGTCATAGTTTATGATTCCAGACCAAGCGGCTCCAGCAATCTGTGCGTTGCCGCCGCTGGTGTGTCGCCAGCAAGCCCACGACCCCCCCAGACCGGCTGCGGGAGGGGAGTGTGGGGAGGGGTTGAGCCGTGGCTCAGGTGGACAGCTTCGCCCAGGCGTCTCCAGGTTGCCAGGGGGAGGGGAAAACCACTTCCACACAACAGTGTTCCTTAGTGCCCATGGCAACGGGGTCCTGCACTCCAGTTTCCAGGGAAACCCAGCCCTCAGCGTCTCGGTTGCCAGAGCAACGTCCATGGGCTCGGTTGGCCACGCGGTCACCAACTGAACAGGGGCAGCTGGGCACCCAGGCTCGGGAGGACTCGGGACTGCAGAGCCAGGTGCCACGCAGGTGGGGGCCACACACTGAGGAAGGTCCTGGCCCGGACAGGTTGGAGCAGGAGACTCGCCTGGAGCCAAGCCCCAGCGTCCTACGGCCCACAATGAGCTCTGCCTCCGGCAACCCCGGCGAAGGGGACGCCCTCCCGCAGTCCCCGCTGGGGCTGGACGCCGTGATCCAGGTCAGTGGGGCGGCTGCCGCCCCGTGCCTCTGACAGCAGGTCCCAAGGGCACTTTGGGAGGGGCACTGCACAGAGGGGAGCGGCCAGGCCACAGCTTGCCAGCTCCCAGGGGTACTTTCTACCTGCTCGTATGTTTAGCAAGAGCGTGCATGCACATACATGCATGCACACACACGGCACATGCACACACGTATGCACACACATGGCACATGCACACATACATATGCACACACATGCATGCACACTCGTGGGCACATGCACGCACACACATACACAGGGCGCACACACACGCATGCACACTCACGAGGGCAGCCTCGACTCAGGAGACAGCTCGGGGCGCAGCCTTCCCTGCTCCCTGCTGCAGGGCTCAGGTTGTCAGGTGTGCAGCGCGCACCTGGGGCTGGGGAGGCACAGACGGCCCCCCCAGCACTGACGTTCTGCCAGCTCCTGCACTGCCCTCGTGGCAGGGCATGGGGCCAGCAGGGCTCCCAGGGGCAGGTGTTTCCCGAAATGCCCGTTCGTAGGCACGTGTGGTTTGTCCCCAGTATGTGTCCTGTGGGCCACCACACGCTCTGGTTCCATCTTCACGCACACACATGACCACAGCACCGCAGCAGTGCGAGACTCTTTCCGATGCCCCCCTTCACTCCCCACGCCCAGAGCCAGCCCGCTGCCCAATCCTGACACCCCACCTGCAGCGCCTTCGCCTGCTGCCGGCCACCACGGCCAGCCACTGCTGCCTCGGGGATCCCGGCGCACCCAGCGGGGCCCAGAACAGCCCACTCAGAGCCGCTTATTAACCAGCCCTCAGGCCTCGAGCTGTGCCCTAGGGGGTGACATGGCCCCATCCAAACAATACAGGTCGCCTGAAAAGAGTGAAGGCCACAGCGGGTGCCGGGTGACTCAACAGCACTGTGGAGTCGTGTGCACGCACACACACACACACGCGCACACACACACACACGCACACACACGCGCACATACGCACACACACAGATCATGACAAGGGCAAGATATTTGGATCAGATGACATGACAAGATGAAAGAGATGTCCAGTGGGGCGCCCAGGTAGGGTGCCCAGGTGGGGTGACCGGGGCGACCGTCCCCTGGAGCTCAGCCAGCTCTGTCCAGCTCCAGCGAGGAGAAGGCCGGAGGCAGGGCGGGGCTCCCACGGTGCGGTGTACCCGGCACTCTCCGCACCGAGGCTCCAGGGTTGAACCAGCTGCTTGTGGTTACCGGACAGTTTGAGGGAGAAACCCGGATGGGCCGACATCCGGCAGTGGGCACGGGTGCTGGGCAACCACGGCGGAGGGGCGCTTCTGCCCCCAAATCCACTGTCCCTGGGAAACTCACCCGAAAGCCACGCAGAGCCCTGGCGAGGCCAGCTCTGCCCGCCCGCCCACCTGCCGACACCTGTTATTTGCACTGCGGTGATTGAGATCTCGGTGCAATTACCCCAGGTGAGCAGGCAGCAGACGGGCGCCACGAGATGCCCAGATAGGCCCGTCCAGACTGGACGCCGGAACCAGAGGGACCCTCCAGCCCCCGCAACCGCAGCCGGGGCCTGGGGAGGGTGTGGTTTGATCCTCAGGAGCCTCCCACGACGGCAGTGCCGGCTCCCGGCCTGGAGGAGCCCTCCCAACACCCACCCCCTCTGCCACAGCCGCCCTCCCCTCCCGCAACGCCCCCAGCAACCTCTGGGCGCTGTCCCAGAATGCCCAGCCGCCCCCAGTGCTGGCCTCGGACACAGGGGCAGGTTTGGAAACGGTTCCTTAACCCGCCCCCCTGGGGTGAGCAAGTTGGGCTTGGGGCGTGCAGAGGCCCCGGAAATGACACGAGTTGGGGGTTACACGTGCCTGGGGGTGGGGACGTCCCACAGTTGGGACATGCCGATGGGCAGGGTTGGGACCAGGAGCGTGCATGGGGAGATTTCCAACGCCGGACTGAGTCGCTTTTGTCGCTATGGGACTCTCCAGACTCTTTGTTTGGGTTAAGCTTTGATAATGGTGTTCTTCTAGGAATTGGTCCATCATATCTAAAGTTTCAGACGTATCGGCAAAGCTGTTGGTGATATCTTCCTGCAGCCTTTCGAGCGTCTGCAGGGTCTGACGCAGGTATCGGCGCCGTTTGCCGGGGGTTGAGGCAGGTTTCGCGGGACTCGAGATCCTCAGTGCTAGAGCCGAGGAAGTCCAGGGTACACAGGGTGACTCGGTTCCTGGAACCAGCTGTCACCTCTGACGCTGGTCACCTACGGCCTCCTGATGGCATCATTACCTTCTATTTCCTTAGTTTATACACTTATTATCTCCGTGCTTTTAACTTCCTTGGGTTTGTCGTTCATCTAACTTTTTGAGAGGAGCACTTAGCTC